CAAAAAAAAAAAAAAAAAAAAAAAAAAAAAAAAAAAAAGAACTACAGACACATGCACATGCTCACGTATGCACACCCACACTTCTGACATCCATCTACATAACCAAAGAAGGCTGCTGTCCATATTCCCCCCCCACCATGCTGACTGTACATTTTAGGAAACCAAGCTAAATCAATGACAGTATTTCTCTCTCTCTCTCTCTCTCTTTTTTTTTTTTTCCTTTTTGAGACCGGCAGCACCACGCTCAGCCAATGAGCGCACCGGCCATCCCTATATAGGATCCAAACCCGGGGCCAGAGCGCCACTGCGCTCCCAGTGCTGCACTCTCCCGAGTGCGCCACGGGCTCGGCCCCAGTATTTTTCTCTTATGGAAACCGCACATTTATCTGGTTTATTTGTCATTCAACAAACATAACAGTTGTTACGTACCTATCGCCAGCCAGGTCCTGCACTGAGTCTCTGGTTAAAGATAAATTCTTGGCTCCAGCCTTAGGCAGCTTATGGTCTAGAAGAAATGCTCCAAGTATGGCACATGCAGCTCTGCCTAAGCTGTGTCACAAGTCATTTTTCTCCTACCAATAATTAAAAATACTGAAGATTTGGAAAGACACAATTCTAGTAACAAATTGGGGTAATTCTGGTATCCCTTGAGTGGGAGTTGAACAGAGGAGTGTGTGGTGTGTGCAAATGTCACCAATGTGGCTATCACCTCTCCTAAGGAGTGGTGAAGAAAATGTCTGAGGACTAGACAGCTTTGAGAAATGGTGTGGGCACCATAAAATGAGAACTCTCCAAGCCTCGGGTGACTGCAGTCCACCAAATCCCAGCCTAGTCAAGTCAACAAAACTCCAGTACAACACAACAATCTGCCATTTATGGTAAAGCAATCATAACTTCAAATACTAATGGCAAAACTGGGTACCAAAGCCTGAGAGAAAATAGGCACAATAATTACTGCCATTCCTTTACAGTCAGTGATGAATTTCCCATTTCAGGGTAACAAAACCTTCTGCATCCAACTTCCTGGCTCGGAATTCATTAAAATTTCTTGATTACCTTCAATGCAATAGGCCTAAGAACCTGGACCTAACCCTAAAAAAGAAGTTTATGATGGCCTGTTCTTATATATGCGACTACTTAGCTTTAAGTATTCTAAAATAAAAATAATGTAAAAGCACTTGAACTGCTAAACATGTTTGTTGACAGACTTCGACAATTTTCAGAAGCAAACAGCTTTTCTCTAGGAGGATATTATGGACACCTACTGAATGTTTTTTCTTCTGCACATTTGTTTTGTTCTTGTAAATTTTACATCACTGCCTACACAGATATTGCTCAGAAGCACAGCAGAAGTCAAATAAAGACAGATGGGCACAGTGGGGCAAAGCACTTCAAGCATATCTAAAGCACCAAATCAGTGAGTGGGCAAATGTTTCGCCTGTGAGCTACATACACCACGATGCTTCTCCATAATGCACCCACTAAGGATGCAAGCTCTTTGGAGCATGAATTTGCAAGGTGCCAATAACATTTCATAAATAATAGACTTGGTACTGGCCTATTCAGTAGATGATCTGAGGACTCTATGGTTTCAAATGTTTTCCCCTTGAGTTAGAGAAAATACTAGTATGATCATCTCATTCAAGATTCAGTAAGCTGGGTCCTCCTTGTCAGGAGCATACTGTTGAACAGCTGGGATAGGAAACCCTGAAAGCAAGACTGTTTAATGGAAGCACTTACAGAACCCGAATTATATAAAGGGCATTAGCAGAAACAGGCCTCGGGAGGGGAGAAAGGATCTGTTTACCTGTCATTTTTCTCACCAGAGGAGAGACTGGCCAGGAAATGCATTTAACGGCCCAGAGAATGGAGAAAGTGTGTAGGTTGTCAAAAAGACAGAACAGAGTAATAACCAAGGCACAGAAAAACTTTGTTATTTGGTGCCTCCTGATTTTACCAAAATGCATACCTTTCGCGTTTGGAAAATGAAGGTATACTCCTCCTTTCCCTCTCACACCCTAAGTAGGAGTGAGTAATGTTGATGCTGCACTTGAAAATTATTCAATACAATATTTATAACCAAACATGCCAAGACCCTAGAATGGGGAGGAGTTTATAGAAACAAACTTTGGGCCCTGGGAATTACCCCAGCAAAAATTCCCTGGATGCTGCACGCGTATAAAGGAGAGAGTAATTAGACAAAGAACTCTTGAGCATGAAGGATACTGAAGAAGTATAAACACTAATGAGGAGTTAGAGCAATTACTAAATAGAAAAAGAAAGTGCCTACAGAGGAAATGAGTAATTAAACATGCTTTCTCCTGATCTACAGATCTTGAGGTCCAGGATCTCCGGGGCAGTGCAGAGGGTGGGGAAAGTGAGAGGACGGTGAGGGATCCACAGGACTCGGGCGTCCGGACCTCACCGAGTCTGTCTGTCCGGCCCAGGGGAATCGAACTGCTTTGAGGCGCCTCCCCAGAGCTCCGGGTCCCGCTGCTCCATCCGAGGAGCTCGCAAAGGCGTCCCGCGTTCCTCACCCGCGTTTTCGAGGTACACTGAGGCAGGGCGCTTCCTGTTCTGGCCGCTCCCTGCCGAGCCTCTGCCCGTTCAGACCTGCCCCAGCTGCCAGGGGCTCCAACCCGGGCGCTCCGGCCCTCGGGGGACTGCCGCCGCTCCCAGGGACTCCACACCTCCCCAGCGACACCCTCCCACTGCCTCATGTCACCCAGACTGGACGGGGAGTGGGGGCAGCCCCAGGGTCCAGGCCGGCGGGAATCAGGGGTGACACCGGGGGTGCAGCCCGGCAGGGGTCGGGGGTGACCTCGGGTTTCCGGCTGGCAGGGGTCAGGGGTCGCGGGTCGGCACTCACTGTTTGGGCAGCTGCAGGGCGGGCGCCCCGCGCCGCTGGAAGGCCCCGTCCACGAAGACGCCGTTCTTGCCGAGGCAGCGCAGGTAGAAGTGCGGCTCCTGGAAGCTGAGCTGCAGGTGGCGCCGCGAGATGAAGCTCGACAGGCCCATGCTCAGGTCCACCGAGCCCTGCGACGAGTTGCGGCCGATGGTGACGCTGGGCTGCCGCATGAGGAACTCGAACTCGCGGCCCTCGAGGCGCGCCAGTGCCGGCCCCGGGCTCTGCCGCACCGAGGCGGCCGCCGCGGCCACCAGGGCCGGCGCCGCGCCCGCGCCCCCGC